TTTTCTCCCATCATTGGACTCTGTCGTCTGCCCCTCTGGCCCCTATCCTCCACTTCTACCAGCTAGACGACCCAACCGGGGTCACATGGGAGGGGTGGGTTGGACCCCCTCCTGCGGTTCCTGCCTGAGATATTTTTATCGTGAGAAGGGTACAGCAATCCCTTCCCTCGCGACTGATGAAGTCGATCAATTTTACAAACAACGAGCTTTGCAGCGCGTCGCTTCCAACGGAGACCAGGTTTCAATTAGCGAGAAAAAAGTCACTCTGTCGGGACTCGAACCCATGACCTGGCCCTTAGCAGGCTGCGAGGCAACCCACTAGACCACCGGGGCGACCGGGCATGTATGCTATGTAGCCCAGGCGCGTTTTCATGGTGACGAAAGACTTCGATTGACTGTTGCAGTCTTGTGCTGGCCCCGGCGTTGCTGTGAGTGCTCGTGAGACTGGTAGAGGTGTCGGCCTTTCTTCGTGGGTGTCCCACGGAGAGGTGTCCCACACACACACACGCAGCACATGTGTAATTGTGCTGCTGCGCAGGCGGAACTCGCTGGGCGAATGAATTCACCATGTTCAGCGTCCAGCCTTCCCCGAATGACTACTCTGAATCACAACTTGCCTGTTTTGTGAAAAGTGAGGGTAGGTTTGTGCTCTCGATCGACGCGCGAGTTGGAATAAAAACGTTCAGAAAGAACGTGTGTCAATTGTGATCTCGCAACCTATCCGACCTATCCGAGCATGTGAGCACGCAAGTTTATCCCAGGAGACGTGCGGTCGGTGTTGGCACCCTCTTGGTTGTGGAACATTCAAGCCGTGAAAGTTGGCCTTTTGAAGGCAATTGTACACTCACTCGCACTTTGACGATGGGTAGCCAAGGTGGCATAGTTCGCGTGCGGTCTTGCTGACCGACGCGCGAGTACGTGATTGCATCGGCCGGCTGCCGACCGGTGGTGATGCGAGACGATCGTGCTTCCCGCCTTTCCCCTAGACATTCCAGTTGTGACGCACACACACAGGATTTAGCACTGGTCGATATAAACACGCACAAACATACAAGAGGGTAGGCTCCCTCATGGCTCCCCCTGAAGGAACCCCAGGTCATGACCACGAGAAGTGCTGTACATGTTTAGCCGCACTGAGACTCGTGTATTTTCGTTGGTCCGCCGACTAGCGCCGCCGGTGCTACCTTTAGCTGTGAGTATATACGCTCACGCCCACTCGAACGCGCGCCTTTTGGTGGTGCGAAACGTCATGTTGCTCTGCAGAGCAACTGCGGAAGTTGACGAAGAACTGCCTGGAGGAGAACATGTCGGACACGGCCGCCTACTACGCGGACAAGCTGGTGACCTTCTCCAACTTCGATCGAGAAGCCGTGCTCCTTCTCGCAAAGGTGACCCCCCCCTCTCTGGTGAACCGCTTTGCGGCTCGTTTCTTTGGTGAAGACATGACGGTAGGTGTCAGAAGCGGGCGAGGCGGTTTGTTGAGTTTGACTCGGGGCCGAGTTTTGGTTGTGTTGACGAAAAGGGTGTGATTATTAGCAGCACACGTGGTGTTGGCCTGGCGTCTCTGACGAACGGCGGCTCGCTTTGCAGCGCTTTGGCGACGGTCGGTGCTTCCGTAACCTCGTGTGACGTTTTCCCATTCTTTGTTCACACCAAGAGACTTGCTCCATGTTGCCGAGGGGCTATACGGTACACAGCAGTCAAGGGTTGTCTTTCATGGGTGGTATCCTCCTAGCCAAGATGAACACCGCGAGAATGTTGCTGGCTGCACCAGCCCCACGTGCTTCGGGATATCTGTAGCGGTATTTCTTGAACACATGGCGTTCGGCACAGATTTGAAATGAAGGAACTGTTGATAGTGTTCTGCAACATATTTGAAATGCACGTGAGGTTGCAGCCGGCGACGCAATTCACGCTTGACCCCATCGTCAGGTCGAAGAACCTCTTTTTCACACGCGGTGAGGTCGGATAAGCTTGCGATACGTTTGCTACCCCCCCTTCTTTGATTGACGCTCCCGTCCGGGCGTGTTTGTTCTTCTCAAACGAAAAAAGGCACAATTTGCTTGCGGGGCGTACCTCCGCACTGTGCACCTGCTGGCCCAGCACCGCCTGCTGGACTACGCGGACAATTTCGGCCTCAGGGCGTGCCACCTGGCTGCGAGAAGGTGCGAGGGGAGCTGCACTGTAGGTTGACGCTTGGGGACAGTGGCGCTAGGTTGATTTGATTGTCCACGGGGAAGCGTCAGTGGAGATGCCGAGTGGGGGGGGAGTCGTTTGGGGGGGGGCAAGGTTGGTGACGTCTCACCTCGTCTCGTGCAGTGCATCCCTCATCGGGCGCCGCGCGGGGGTTGGTCCTGTGGCTACGAGTTCGAAGATGGCGTCGGCAGTCATGCGTCGTGAGCACGAGCGGATCTTGCGAGCACGGTAGACCTTGTTCGGGATGGAAGAGGCAAGCCCTGCGGGGGAGGCTGCACCGAAGAAGGAGCCGTCCGTATTGCACCTCAAAAGAAAGGGACACTCACCAGCCTGCCGCTCTGAGGCCGGGTCTGCTTTGGTCGCCTGGATAGGAAACCTAGGAAACCAATTGCTCCAGGGCAGGCTGGTTGGCGGCAGCCCTTTTACCTACTTCGTACCTACAGCAGGGACCGCCCTGTGGTTGGGACTAGGCTGTTTGTTTCTTGGAAGCAGTTGATGTTGATGGACGGTTTTTCATCGTCATTGCTGTCGGACGCCTTTGTTTCCTTCGCGTCGGTTGTTTGCCCGCGCACCGACCGGCAGGACCTAGCAATGGCTGCACGGGGTGTCATCCTGTTACATATACTCTGCAGCGGCGTCCTAAAGCGCTACCGTACGATGCGTAAGCCGATATCACCCCCCCCTCCCCTCCTCCCCTGCAAGGCACGATGTGTTTGTTCCCTCGTGAAAAGCGGTCGCAAAACCTTCAAACATTGCACCTCGAAACCGAGACCCTCGGTTCTCGAGGAGGAGGGCTTTGCACCGCCGCGAACCCGGTTGGTTTGTAGCCGCTTGTGCGGCAGTTTGTGAACGTAATTTCCCACTAACTTGACTTGCGTGGGCGCGTCGCGATTTGTGTTTTCTTCTGTGATGGTCCCCCAGTCTGAGGGCGGCAGAGAAGACGGAGGAGTCGGTGTCTCTGCTGGAGAAGGTTTTGGGTCACAGCGACGACCACGCCGTGGAGGTGAAGGCCAGGGCTAAGGTGTGTAATAGGTCCGTGTCTAACGTGTCTTGTGTATGTGTGTGTGTTCTTTGGTTTAGGGTTGGCCGCGTTAAACTGCTGGCCAGTGGCAACGTGTTGGCCATTGAGAAGACGTTAGTCTCGTTGCGGGCTAATAAACACAAAACGTGTATCTATGTCGTTGTCTGTGTCTGTGTTTTCCAAAATATGCGTCGACCGCGCCTATGCGGCTGCCCATTGAGAAGATTTCCAGTCTTGTAGAGTCTTGTAGAGTCTTGTAGAGGGAGCGACAACTGCAACCACGGTTCCTAGTGCGCTTGCACGTGCGTGCTTCTTCGGTGGTATACTTGTACCGTACCACGTACCATATTTTCCTCAGCCGTGTCGATCGCACAGCAAAACCGGATGGCCACCGAGAGTTCGTGTTGTTGGGGCGAGGTGGATCAAAGGCCGAACCTCTTGTGGGTCGTTTGGTGTGTGCATGCGAGTGCAGTTGCAGAGAGAGAGAGAGAGAGAGAGAGAGAGAGAGAGAGAGAGAGAGAGAGAGAGAGAGAAGAGAGAGAGACTCGTAAACACTAAACACGCTTCGGCGTGTGGCAGCTGGGAGTCTATGGCGCCATCTTTCTCACGAAACTCGTGTCGAGACGATCGTCGCATCAAGGTTAACTACTATATGTACTTCGAAGTACGCAAACATGGTGTGCAATGTCAGAGCACGTTCTCCGTGCAAGCCGCACGAGGGTACTATGGCGACGGCTTGGAGGCACGCAGCAGTACCAGGGTTGTCGCTGCGGCTGTGGTATCCATCGGTCGACGTGCTGGCGATTGTAGTGCACGTGCCGTGCGACTGCTGTAGCTGCCGTCGCCTTCGTCGTTGTCGTCGGCTCTGGCTGTCGTTGTCGTCGCGGTGACGACTGTCCTCCTTCCATCTCCGTCGATGCCAGTCAACAGCCGACTCCGCTCGCTCGTTCTTCTTCGTTTCACCGTACACGCCTTCCCGCCGCAGGTGGCGAGATCGGGGGTTCCGGCGGCGGTTCCCGGCGCGAACGGCGCCGATTCGGGAGCCGGGGCGGCGGAATGCCCAGCACCGGGAGTAGATGTGCTCGCCGCTCTTTGCTGTCTGAGGGGACAGGCGTACGCTTACCTGGACAACCGGCCGAGGGCGGCCGTGTGGCTCCGGACCGCGCTGGAGATCGACGCTCGTTGCGTGGAGGCTCTGCAGTGCTTGACACGGTACGGGGTGTGCCGGGCCGCATGCACCTTGAGGAGTCGCTGTTCAGTTTGGGTTGGGGGTGTGTATATATATATATATATCTGGTGGCGTGGGGTGCATGCTCTGTTTCTTTCTCTGTCTCTGTCTCTGTCCTCTCGTTTTCTGTCGCTGTCTCGCTCTGTCTTTAGCTCTGGCTCCTTCTCCGTCTCTTTCTCTTTCTCTTGCTCTGGCTCTGTCTCTCCCCGTGTGTCTCTCTCGCGCTCTCTCTCGGTGTGAGTGTGCAATGGAGTGCGGCGGCGTGCGTCGTCGGTGTCAGAGGTCTCGTTAGCACCAATCAAATGTGTGCAGCCGCACCTCACAGCACCATGGTCGGTACAGATGAGACACTAGCCGTGATGCCGACCTACCATACTCTCGTCAATCGCGCAACAGCAGGCAGTATGTAGTTGATCAACAAGCCGGGAACGGACGGGGCGTTTGAACCGCTGTGCGTAGCGTCGCTAAACAATGCTTTGGGTGGTGTGTGTCGGCCAGGTTATTGGCGTGACATAAGCGCATCAAGGAACGCCTAAAATGCAAAAAGGAACGCCTGAAAGAAACAAAAAAAGGAACGCTAAAACGAAAAAAAAGCCTAAGAGAAACCCACGTTGCCGTTCAACACCAAAGGATGTTTTGGTGTCCAGTGCACACGTATTATCAGAAAATTACAATCGCAGAAGGACTATCCGTCCGAGATATCACCGCCGTCGAAGGGGGGGTGTTGGAAATCTTCACATTGAAAGGGAAAAACCCAGTCTATTCAGGAGGATTTTTTTCTTCATCTTCACTATCGAATATAGACGAAACGCCCAGTCGACGACTCCAACAAAAATCCCCCATCTGTTGATTCATACTTCAATCGCGATCCGATTCAGATGGCACCTGCTGAGCATCGACGAGCAGGCTTCGTTGGTGTCCGGCTTGGAGTACGGAGAGGAGCAGCAGGAGAGCTGGCTGCACTTCTTGTTTAAGTCGCAGATTAACCGACCCCCGGGCTGCAGGGCAAAGGTGAGACAACACGAATCCCTGCACGATTCACCTCTGGGCCCCATGTTCTTGCCTGCCAGTTTTCCGGCTCCCCCCCCCCCCCCC